TATCGCGCGCGCACACACAAATACACTTTTTATATGAACTACACATCTATGGACCTTTTGTGTTAATAACCTTGGATTTTATTCTTTTCTCTTTTCACCACATCATTTTTAACTTATAGCTTGAGTTGTTAGTTCCCAAACGAAGAATTTTGTAGTTAATTGTGGTTCCCAAATATTGTAGAGTATCTATAAGAATACGACAATGTTAGGATGAGTAAGTCTTGTGGAACTAAATGATTATAGTGGGTGTTACGAAACTGATCGATAATTGTAAATCCAACATGAGAAGGAATTGATTAGCCTTGTGTTAACCAACACGATAGACCAATAGATATCAATCAATTGCGGAGATAATGGATTGGGATGAGTGAATAATGCTATTCTTGTAATACACGATTTATATTTAAAAATATAAAAATAAAATAAATTAAAAGTATTAGATAGGGATTGTGTTTCTTTTCATTGTTCTTATTACTTAATAGGGTAGGAGCGAAGATGAAGTAGTTTTCCATCTTTACTCATAAAGATATACTACATTTTAAATTTCTTGATACTATTCCAACCTAGAAGATAAAACTTAACTTTGTAAATATGAACATTCAAGGGCCATATCATGAAATTTCGAATTTTTCACACTTCATACTTCACACTTCACAATGCTAAATGTGCCGTCCTACTCCATTGGAGAATCAATGACAAAATATCTTATCCCACTTCATTAGGAAAAGGGATTGAGAACATGGTCGTTGCTCCGAACCAATTGACCTCTTCAACGTTGTTAAAGTTAAATCAATTAAAAAAATAAAATAATAAGTAAACAGGATATGAACGAGGGTACCTGCTCTACCTCTCAAAAATCCACGACGAGTCTTTTAACATAAGATTTTATATTTAAAATATAGAAATAAATTAAATTAAAGAAGATTTGATAGGGATCGTGTTTCTTGTCCGTGCTCTGATTATTTAACGCTGCAAGGGAGAAGGTGAGATACCTTGCCATCTCTACTCATAACCCCATGCTCCATTTATAAAATTTTGCACTATTCCAACCTAAAAGACAAAACTTGACTTTGTAAATATGAACAGTCAAAGGCCATATTATAAATTAATCAAATTTTGGATTGTTTACATTGCTAAATGTCTCGTCTTGCTCCACGGGGAAATCAACGACAAAATATCTTGTCCGGCTTCATTAGGAATGGAGATACAGGACACTGTCGTTGCTTCAAACAAGCTGACATCTTCTTTTTATTTTGTTTTAATGCTTTTAAATTTTAAATCGTATTTTTTTTAAAATATAATAAGTAAACAGGATATGAATGAAGACACCCGCTCCACCTCTCGAAATCCTCGACGAGTCATTGCCCTACTATGCCCTCTCCCCTTTGGCATTACTAATTACTAAGGATTGAATGTCCAATTATAAGCTATAACTAAAGAACTAGAACTAATTGGCTCATTTTCAAATTTCAGGGATATATGGTACCTAGTATAGAATCAGTAGTAGTTTCGAAATAATTCACTTGACTAACTTATACATAGGTGATTCTATTCAAATCATTTAATTGCAATGAAAATTTTAAACTTTTGTTCATTTACACGTCTCAACTTTTTTCACATATTTTTATCATTACTTTCTATTAATTAAACATCTTGTCTTGATGGCTGAAAATGCACCAAGAGAAAGTACAAATATTTATTTGCACAATATATTTAAAATAAAGCAAAATAAACTCGACATAATATCTTTTTTATTCTACCAGAATATATGGAAAACAATTGTCTTCGGAATTCTAATTGATGGAAGATTAAAGATGAGAGTACACTGAAAACAATTAAAGATATAAGTGCAAATTTGTGCAAAGATTAAGAGCTTAGAGTGCTTTTGATTGCCTATATTTTTCATGAAAAATGTGTTTTTTCCATCCAAATCCTACTTTTGTGCTGTTTGATTGTAATTTTTCATGGAAAATATTTTCTCAGTTTTGGTCATGTGACCATATTTTCCTCAAAATCAAAGAAAATATTTTCGTGAGAAAGAATATGATTTTATTTTTCACGAAATTCACTCTCTCTTTCTCTCTCTTATTTATCTACTCTTTCTCATTAATCCACTAATAAAAAATGGACAAATATAATATTTTCTATGTTGAAAATTAAATCAATCAAACAGATTTAATTGACAATTTCCATTCAAATAAATTCTAGATAATTGAATTATTTAAAATTTATTTTCTTTTCATGCAAATTTCAAACTTGCAATCAAACGCATCCTGTCAATGCAATTAGAACGTGGTGAAGTCAACAAAACATGGATGTTAATAACCTCACAGATGCCACGTGTGTAAACAGGATAGGGACATTTTTGCCCCTACCATAAGTTACCGGATTTGCCCCTAGCTTGGGTTTTAATCAGAAACCCTAATTGCTAATTGCCTCTGTTATTCATTCTCCATCGTAGAGTTCATATCTCAAGCCGCAGAGCCCCGGTAAAATATTACCGTTCTTTAATTTCTATTATATTGGAAATTTTTCTAACAATCCCATTGCAGTTTTCCGGTTAGGTTGTAGGGTTTAAGCTGAATTAAATCAGTGAACTCATGGCTTTGCGTTTTTGATTCAGTTGAATTATTATGTTTTCCTCCGTGCTTCTTTGATGTTTGTTTTTCCTACGATGCAGGAGGATTATCAGTAAAGATGTATCTCCAATTTTACATTAATGAAAATGGGGATAAAGTTTACACTACTAAGGTTTGCCTCTTCGTTTTCTCGATTCATGCAGCTTTTATGTAAATATGTAATTTTCCATGCTATTATCGCAGTGTTTCAGGTTATAGGCATGGTTTACATGATCAATAATTAATTCCCACTCTAGGTAATGCTGTGATGGTAAATTAAAATTCACTACCTGTTAAAGTGCATTTTGTACATTTATTTTAAGTAATTTTTCCTTGCTTGTAATTCCCAACAAAGAGTGATATCATGATTTCCCGAATTTGATGATAGATGGTCGCAGATACTAGTTTCAGTAAGTAGTGAGTTTGAGAGTTGGCTCGATGTTAATCAACATTCATAGTTGTACTTACTGAATTGCAATTTAATGCATAATGTGGGGCGAGTACTTATTTGAAAGGATTTCTCTGAACTTTTTGACAAAATTTACCATCTTGTTTTCTCCACTAAAAAGAAAAGACTTCATATATTTCGATTTTTTACTATTGCTCTTCTTCATGCAGAAGGAATCACCATTGGGGTTGGCCACAGAATCTGCTCATCCTGGTATGTTTTCTGAATCATTATGAATCTATATCTTAGATGTAATGTACCCTAACAGACTGGCCCTTTTAAAATAAATACGTGCATCGAATTGCATGTTTTAGTGTGTTATGGTAATAAAATCAATATTTTGCACACTTGACAGTGACAGAGTGGTCGAGTAATTTGCTTCTGACTAATTGATACATAATGGAATATGATTCAGAATTTGAGAATCTGCCTGTCTATCACCTGTGCAATTAAATCTTCAATTTGAGTATAATGAAGGATAAGAAATTTCTCTGAATAGCTAAGAACTTTTGTTCCTCACTATTCGATTGAAACTTTTCCTACTGATGTCAATGTATTTGTGCACTCTTATGCCATGTTACAGCATGAGGGATGCATCTGTGGATAGAGTATATTTCCTAACCAAGTCTTTGTGAAATTTTTGTCTTCTAAGGAAACTTTAAGTTGATAAAGTAGTACAAATCATATTAAACAAACATGCACGCTGGAAAATACGAACTCTTACTCCCTATTTTTTGTCTTCACACATGATTTTTCGTCTTTACAAATAACAAAAGAGCAATAGTAATAAAACCGAGAAAAACTTGCTTAGGCGTTGTGATAATGGGAAATGATGCTCTTCTTGTTTTCTGAGTTACTGCTTTGTTAAACTAGTAATCATGGTCTGGGAGAAGGTGAGATACCTTGCCATCTCTACTCATAACCCCATGCTCCATTTATAAAATTTTGCACTATTCCAACCTAAAAGACGAAACTTGACTTTGTAAATATGAACAGTCAAAGGCCATATTATAAATTAATCAAATTTTGGATTGTTTACATTGTTAAATGTCTCGTCTTGCTCCACTGGGAAATCAACGACAAAATATCTTGTCCGGCTTCATTAGGAATAGAGATTGAGAACACCGTCATTGCTCCAAACAAGTTGACATCTTATTTTTATTTTATTTTAATGCTTTTAAATTTTAAATCGTATTTTTTAAAAATATAAAAAGTAAACAGGATGACACCCGCTCCACCTCTCGAAATCCTCGACGATTCATTGCCCTACTATGCCCTCTCCCCTTTGGCATTACTAATTACTAAGGATTGAATGTCCAATTATAAGTTATAACTAAAGAACTAGAACTAATTTGCTCATTTTCAAATTTCAGGGATACATGGTACCTAGTTAAATAGAATGAGGAGTAGTTTCGAAATAATTCACTTGACTAACTTATACATAGGTAATTCTATTCAAATCATTTAATTGCAATGAAAATTTTAAACGTTTGTTCATTTACACATGTCTCAACTTTTTTCACATATTTTTATCATTACTTTCTATCAATTAAACATCTTGTCTTGATGGCTGAAAATGCACCAAGAGAAAGTACAAATATTTATTTGCACAATATATTTAAAATAAAGCAAAATAAACTCGACAAAAATGTATTTTTTAATTCTACCAGAATATATCGAAAACAATTGTCTTCGGAGTTCTAATTGATAGAAGATTAAAGATAAGAGACGATGAGAACAATTGAAGATATAATGCAAATTTGTGCAAAGATTAAGAACTTATAATGCAATTAAAACGTGGTGAAGTTAACAAAACATGGATGTTAATAACCTCCCAGATGCCACGTGTGTAAACAGTATAGGGACATTTTTGCCCCTACCATAAGTTACCGGATTTGCCCCTAGCTTGGGTTTTAATCAGAAACCCTAATTGCCTCTGTTATTCATTTTCCATCGTTGAGCTCATATCTCAAGCCGCAGAGCCCCGGTAAAATATTACTTTCCGGTTAGGTTTGTAGGAAATTATTCATTCTCTATCATATTGGAAATTATTCTAACAATCCCGTTGCAGTTTTCCGGTTAGGTTTGTAGGGTTTAAGTTGAATTAAGTCAGTGAACTCATGGCTTTGCGTTTTTGATTCATTTGAATTATTATGTTTTCCTCTATACTTCTTTGATGTTTGTTTTTCCTACGATGCAGGAGGAGTATCAGTAAAGATGTATCTCCAATTTTACATTAATGAAAATGGGGATAAAGTTTACACTACTAAGGTTTGCCTCTTCCTTGTCTCGATTCATGCAGCTTTTATGTAAATATGTAATTTTCCATGCTATTATCGCGGTGTTTCAGGTTATGGGCATAGATGGTAAATTAAAATTCACTACCTGTTATACATAATTTTCTAATAATTAAAATGCATTTTTTACATATATTTTATGTAATTTTTCCTTGCTTGTAATGCCCAACAAAGAGTGATATCATGATTTCCCGAATTTGATGATAGATGGTCGCAGATACTAGTTTCAATAAGTAGTAAGTTTGAGAGTTGGCTCGATGTTAATCAACATTCATAGTTGTACTTACTGAATTGCAATTTAATGCATAATGTGGGGCGAGTACTTATTTGAAAGGATTTCTCTGAAATTTTGTCAAAATTTACCATCTTGTTTTCTCCACTAAAAAGAAAAGACTTCATATATTTCGATTTTTCACTATTGCTTTTCTTCATGCAGAAGGAATCACCATTGGGGTTGGCCACAGAATCTGCTCATCCTGGTATGTTTTCTGAATCATTATGAATCTATATCTTAGACGTAATGTACCCAGACAGACTGGCCCTTTTACAATAAATATGTGCGTCCAATTTGCATGTTTTAGTGTGTTATGGTAATAAAATCAATATTTTGCACACTTGACAGTGACAGAGTGGTCGAGTAATTTGCTTCTGACTAATTGATACATAATGGAATATGATTCAGAATTTGAGAATCTGCCTGTCTATCACCAGGCAATTAAATCTTCAATTTGAGTATAATGAAGGATAAGAAATTTCTCTGAATAGCTAAAAACTTCTGTTCCTCACTATTCGATTGAAACTTTTCCTACCGATGTCAATGTACTTGTGCACTCTTATGCCATGTTACAGCACGAGGGATGCATCTTTGGGTAGAGTATATTTCCTAACCAAGTTTTTGTGATATTTTTGTCTTCTAAGGAAACTTTAAATTGATAGAGTAGTTCAAATCATATCAAACAAACATGCACACTGGAAAATACGAACTATTACTCCCTATCCTATGTCTTCACACATGATTTTTCGTCTTTACAAATAACAAAAGAGCAATAGTAATAAAACTGAGAAAAACTTGCTTAGGCATTGTGATAATGGGAAATGACGCTGTTCTTGTTTTCTGAGTTACTGCTTTGTTAAACCAGTAATCATGGTCCACAAAGATTATTCACCACATCCTTCTAATGTCTCTCTTTCCCAATTGCAGCTCGCTTCTCACCTGATGACAAATACTCGAGGCAAAGAGTGCTCCTGAAGAAGCGCTTTGGTTTACTTCCTACCCAACATCCACCTCCCAAGTACTGAGTACCCAATGTACTCACGTAGGCCTTTTGTATCGAGAGGAGAAATGTAGCATTCCTTTTCATTTACCCAAGAGTTACCAAATTAATCGTTTTACTATTGGCCTGTAATTTGTGTTTGCACTCCTTTTGCAATTTCTATTGATATTAAATGTTATGGTGGCTAATGCTAGATTCCTTCACCCTTTACTTTTATCCCAAAAATATTTCATTTTTATTAAAATGTTATGGTGGTTAGTCCTACAGGTTTCACTCTTGGGACGAAATGCAACCATGAGCTAGCAATTACCTATGAACACCACTGAAAGCTTATAAATGATTCATTTTGGATAGTTTGCAACAATTTCTATGTTGGGTTTTTTTTTATCACTCTCGTCGTGTCATTTAGATTGTCACAGGGACTGTACTACCATTCAAATCATCAATTTATCACTTTCGTTTTGTGTTGCTTGAGATTGTCACAAGGACTGTAATACCATTAAAATCATCAATTAGCGTTGCAAGCGGTAATGTAATGAATTTACTGCTTGTAAAAATAAGTCTCCAAGTTAGTGGTTTTTCATCAGAAGAAATTTTTAATACTTCTTTTTTAGATATGTTCTCTCGTATCTTATGCTTTTGTCTTTCATGATAAACAGAATTCTTACGAAGTGTCAATACTCTGTGATTATCAGTAAACCATGAAGCGTTATAATGCAAGAGAATCTATTTACTACGTATATCTTTTAACCATAAATACTCCTAATTAGCTTTAGATATTGCAACAGATGGGGTGACCAAGGGTTGCCATGTTATTCACTATTTGTGACCCATTAATATTCTGGATCCTATTTTGTAACGACTGAGATGTTTAGTTCATCTTATCCTTCACAGATTTAAATCTCTCATAACTCAAAAGTCTCAGATTTGAATTATGGAGAAGATGGAAATCTGTGAAGGATAAGATGAACAGACACTCTTTCAAAATTGATCATTTGTATGAGATGATGATTTGAGCATAGAGATTGGATCGTTACAAACATGCACATTTTCTTCTGTAACTAGGCAACTTCGTTGCCAAAGTATCATACGTATTGGTCGTTATAGGAGAGCATCTGTCCATCTTAGTCCTCATGGCTTTTTGTTGCGTCTTCTAGAACTTGAATATATGATCTTTCACTCAAAAAAGATTTAAATTGAATTTTGATATCAATCTCTCTTAAGATGTCATGAGTTCAAATCTTGAAGGACGTTACAGAAAGTCATAAGGAGTAAAATAAATAAATGCTCCAACAAAGCAAATAATGCGTATAATATAGCGATTTGTGCACATATGCTCGAATCATTACATATTTCGTGACTGCAAGACATTGTTTAGTGATTGTGAAATGCCTTTTATACTCTTGTATATATAGCTATTGAACACATCTTCTTTTCTACTTTTATTGTACTTGATGAAAATTTGGCTGGCACATTATTTGTACTAAAATTTGATATTAATAGCTGAGACAGTGAGTAAATGTAGAAGTCCAAATATCCTGGTATAGTAGACGAATTAAAACTAAAAATATCTTATACTTAATTTTTTATCACTTGTATAAATTATCATAAGCACCAATTAATTGGTCACTCGATATTGTAAGATCAAATTCCACCATATCACGATTTTTTATTTGCATATCAATTAAGTTAAAATCGAATAACTTATTCATATTATCATAATTTAATGAATACATCCCAACAAATTTAATTAAACAAATGCGCCAAAATATACAATATTTATGCATCAAATGCGAGTATTCACATATGTTTCATCAATGTCTTAATTAAATTAAATGGAATAATTTGGAGATTCTATCAGAATATTGATATGGATTTGAGTCTTTATTGCATTAACAATTCTTCCCTCATGCCCACAAAAATATTTATTATGTCTTTGGTTTAAATAAGCGGCTACCTTAAAAAAAGAAATCCCAACATCTTTGAATAAAAATGGCTCTAAGAAACCTTGTAAATAAACTGCCTCCAGGTCACGTGTTTGTTCCAACGGACGATGAGTTAGTGTCTTATTATCTTTCCAAAAAGAATTCTAAAGAAGAAATTATCAAAAACCCTCTGGTGGAAATTGACCTGAATACTGAGCCCTGGAGTCTCCCAGGTAGGTTTCCTTTATGTTAGATAATATTCTTTTGTTTTTGTATATCCACAGATGAAAATTAACCCTTGTTTTCAATAGGCTTTCTACTATAGATAATATTTTAGATGAAGTAGTTTAACATGATACATAGTAGATAAATGTTCTGAGAGAATCGTGGAGGTTGATCGCTTGATGCGTGATTAGCCGACTCGATAGTATTTTAGCCACTGTTTTGTACATATTATTTAAAACTCATTTTCAATTACACATTCTTTCATTTAAATAATAAACTTCTATTCTCAAAAAATCTATGTCAAACAAGTCTAGAGTATATTCTTGTAACCTTTACAATGGCATTGATGTGCTATTCTCAAATGACTTTTCAAAAGTATTAAAATGTTCATCTGAATTGAAGCCTTGTTTTAGATATTTCTTAACTTTCACCATTCTTAATTAGAATGAGAGCTAACAATGCTTGTATCCATGGTTGCCCAGATGTGGCAAAGTTGAATTCGAAAGAGTGGTATTTCTTCAGCTTCCGAGATGGCAGAGATAATAGGGCGACGATCTCTGGCTACTGGAAATCCATTGGAAAAGGTCAGGCAGTGCTTGATGAGAGGACACGAGCTATAATTGGGAAGAAAGAGAAATTAATTTTCTACAAAAATAATGGAATCAAAACGGGTTGGGTTATGCATGAATTTCTCCTTAACAACCCTCAGGTGCCTCCTAGTTCTAATACCTCCTTTAATCTTCTCACCTAATTATTTCTAAAGAAATATGCTCCCTAGAAATAGAAATAAAAGGTTAAGAAAAGTTATTTTCTACAAAATTCTCAAATTTACCAATATTATATATACACATACTTTTTCCTTCGTCCTATAAAATTTTATGTACCCTTCATAGACGACGTGTAAAAACACCTTTATTTAACTTTTACTACAAACACTAAAACTTGTCCATAAAAGAAATTGGGTTCAAATTCGAAGTATTTGATTTCTTATGTACTTTCATCACACCTGCGAATGATACATTAGTTCCATTTGGAAATCCAGTCATATCCAATATTACGACACCAATTTATCATTTGTATTTTATGGTGTCAATCTAATATTGATATACATCATCACATTGACAGGCAAAATGGGTGTTATGTAGAGTATTTCATGAAGACCAAAATATCACTTCTTCCTCGAGTGGCTCCTCGAGCCAAAATCCAAGTAGCTCTCTAGTCCGATGAAGACACGATTGACAATGAGTCGAGCAAAATAATTCATGCCAAATAGAAGGATGATTATGGGTTCATAGTTGATAAGACTTATGAAGAATCAACCTTATCGATTGATGGAATGTCTTCAAGAATGGATGGCAATCAACAATATATAACTTGTATTTTCATCTCATATCTAACTCTTTATTAGGGTTTATGCTCTAGGAGTATATTTAACAATAAGTAACCAGGGCCGGCCTTGAAATTTTAGATGCCCCGTGCGACATTTTAAAATGGTGCCCCTCTCATGTAATAAAGAATATATTATAAAAAAACTAATTCAATAACATCGTTTCATACCAAAAATATGACACTAATATTTTGTTTATTTTTACATATCGTGAATAAAAAAAATATAAAAAAAACTCAAAAGCATTCTCCGAACTTCATCAAAATTCATATATCATCAACAGAGAACCATCCAAACTATTAACCTCTTGGTACAATTTCACATGAACAAACTTTGAAATCAAAAATAGCAAGTACCACGTGTAAATCTTGAAATGCAACAAATCATGTAAAAATATTTGTTCTTGCATTTTTAGAAACAAACTCACTAATTAAAACTTTTGTAATCAATATGTTTTAGCAAATCTTTCTCAATAAATATCAAAACTAGCACATTCAATCATTCTTGTAACATAGTTGATTGCAAATAAAATTTTTATATCTTTAGTTTTGAAGAACATTTTTCGACAAATGCAACAATAACAATAATTGTCAATAGCATTCTGTAAATATATTCGAAAAGCAATCCAATCTTGTCACATAAGTCAATATATCAAAAGCTATTTTTGTTTCTTTTGGTAAAAAAATTTGCAAAAATCACCCAACAAAAACTTACCCTTCTAGAATAAAAAAAAATAAAATCATGAAATAACAATTCACAAGTAGACTCGTTCTTGTAACATGGTTGATCGCAAATAAAATTTAATAACTTTAGTTTTGAAGAATATTGTTCAACAAATTCAATAATAACAATAATTGTTAATAGTATTCTATAAGCGATAAATATATTCGAAAAACAATCCAATATTCTCAAATAAGTCAATATATCAAAAGCTATTTTTGTTTCTTCTGGTAAAAAAATTCGCAAAAAATTGAATATAATCAACTATTAGTTAACCAACAAAAATTTACCCTTCTAGAACCAAAAAATAAAAAAATCATGATATAGCAATTCACAAGTGGACAACCAGCTCCAATAAATAGATTGTACTATTATAGAGCATGTAATATAAAGCACAAACCTAATCTCTTGTCCACAGTGAGCAGGATAAAAGTCTATATATATGTAGAAGTACATATTTATAATGGTAACCATTGACAATTTAGCTTCTCGTGTGAATTTTGCACGACATGTAACTAAGTGAAATAATTGAGAGTCATCATACGAATATTGATCAATTTACCAATTACCAAAATTAACTATCTCTAAATTTATTTGAAATATCGAGTTTTGTTGGTTTAAAACCAAATTATAACTAAAGCAATGAGAAATCAACTAACTACTCAACTTTAGGAAAATCAGGTAAGAGTAAAATGTTAGGACATAAGATTTCACCAATCCAATTCAATTTTCCTTATCATGTTCGGGCAACTCATTCATGCAAATGGTCAAATCCCCTAGTTTTTCCATCTGCTAGCAATGTGGTTTGGAATCGATTCTTTACCAACGGCCCACCCTTTCTTTGAACTTCATCGAAACTCAATTGCTATGAGAAACAGAAAAGAAGTGGTAATGTAACGTTGAGAAAAGACAGGGCTCCAAAGGCTGGTAATGTCATGGGATATTTCTTCAAAATTCAGCCCCTGTTTGGCCCCCAATCTTGCCAAATTTTAATGATTGGAATAGTGTTTTTTTGAAAAATGTATGATTGAAAAAGAATGAAAAGTTTTTGATTTGCGTGTAATATTATTTTAAGGAAGATTGTGTGGCTAAAAATAAGAGAGAAAAAAAATGAGAATGAGAATGGGGGCCAAACGGGCTCAGTTTTTAAAGTGAAAGAATTTGAATTTATAATGCCATTAAGATGCGGCCCTACTACTAACCGTTGGGTTAACATCATAGTAATGAAATACGAAACACTATCTTTCTTTTTCATGGTGGATTTTCAAGTTAGAATCTATAGAATCTGAGTTATATAAAGCACATACCTAATCTCCTGTCCACAGTGAGCAGGATAAAAACTCTTCATTGCTAACGTGGCAAGAGAATATTAGTGATAAGCATCGAAAAAAAAAAACACGAAATCTTAACAAAATCACCGTATAAGAGGAGTCTAAGCATATATACAAAGCTAGTTGAATAAACCAGGAGAAACTAAACGCCAAAACCTTACTAGCAGGAATAGCCAATTGTTGAGTTATAAACCAAATGATCTACTTCCATTAGCGTATTACACGAACATGTTGCAAAAGGACACATAGTTGGGGCAAAAAGTATTCGAGAAACCTATAGTGATGGTAGGTTACCTATAATGGCCGCAAGAGGCAGTGGAGTATTGCATAAATAAATCAATGACGTTTCTATTTCACGACCTTCCCCTTGCTACAGCACCCTCGCGCTGATTCCTGAAGTGACTGAGAAGTTGTTGTGCCTGATCCATAATAAAGAAAAGACAACAAAACACGTTATGTTTCACATTATCCACACCTACATGCATCAACATAAAAGTCGGGACTTATGAAATGATGCAAGCCTTGATATATACTAGAACATGTTTGTTGCAGATTCCACCCCACCCCGAAAAAGAGAAAAAGAAAAATAGAAACCAAGAGAGGGGAAAAAAATCGATCCTAGATATCGTTGTAATTCATTTGTCTTGAAATTGCAACACCCTTTAATGGCTAGATACAGTGACAATCTCCGAATAAGCGGGAAACTTTGGCAAACGAGCTACATACCTTCTCCTTTGCTCTTGTTGTGCCAGACTGAGACAATGCAACAAGAGGTGGGACTGCTCCTTCTTGCAAAACCATCAGACAATACTTAGGACTAATGATGCATAGTTGCAAGAGTATCGAGGAAGCATTTTCCTTTCCCTGTTGAGATCCTGTTTCAACAATCTCAACCAGTAATGGAATGCCCCTTTCTTGAGCAATAGCCGAGCATCCCTCTGCAGTAGTAGACAAATTTGCAAGAACAGCTACAGCTTTATCTACAATTTCTGATCCAGGATCCATCAGCTCAACCAGATACTTCACAGCTCCTGCTTGAACTACACGAGCCTTATTTTCATGATAGATTGACAGGTTAAATAAGGCTGTTGCAGCATCTTTCTTCCCTCTTAGAGTACCGGATGCTAAAAGATCAACCAATGCTTTTACAGCACCTGTTTGACCAATCTTCATCCTGTACTCGTCCAAAAAGGAGAGACTAAAAATGGTAGCTGCAGCATTCTCTTTAGCGCCCGAATTACCAGTTCTCAGAACGTGGATAAGAGGTTCAAGTGTGCCTTCTTCCGCAATCATAGCCTTGATCTTTTCATTAATTGATAAGTTCAGCAGTGCAGTAACTGCATGCTCTTGAGTTGGGTTCACATCTGAGTGTAACAAGGAAATTAATGGAGCAATAGCCCCACAGCGGCCTATAATGATCCGATTCTCCATGTTGTACTTTGCAAGAAACCGTAATTGTTTGGCAGCTGCAGTTTGTAGTTCAAGCAATCCACTCTTCAAGTCTTTAACAAGTTTTTCAACACGGGAAGTTGTAGTCATATCGGTAGACCCTGATTCTGAAGGGAATGATAATGTTCTGGGGAGTTTATGGTATCCATTCATCTCAGCCATATCTTTCGAGGAGTGACACTGTTTTCCAGACAAAGACGGAGATACCCCATTACTCTTATTCGATGGTGGTACCCCAGAATTCTTAATTGAAGGAGAGTAAGTGCAATAATCAGATGTTACGTCCCCTGATATATCACTCACATTATCTTGCTTACTCAATATCCTTGAGATTTCAGTCGATGCTGTAGGGACATAATCAGTACTGAAAGTGGCACTAGATGCTGATTCACTCCTGCTGTGTATAGACGAAGGTTCAGGAGACGAGTGGTCAGCGATTGTTTCCTTGTACCTGAAAGTGGCACTAGAAGCTGATTCACTCCTGCTGTGTATATACGAAGGTTCAGGAGACGAGTAGTCAGAGATTGTTTCCTTGTTACTGAAGGCACCAACATCTTCTTCACCGACTCTAGAAGAATCATCGACCTTTTGCTTCTCATTACCAATTAAAACTTTGAAACAGTTTCTTGATGTTGAATTTTTCCTTTGTAAAGGATATTGGATATCATCGTCATGGCAGACCTGCTCAGAATGGGATTCGACAGATAAATTATTTGCACCGTCAACGTTGTTGGAGAGTTCTATTTTATTTTCCTCACACCAATTTGCTATCAGAGCCTTAACTGTAAAATTGGGAATCAGGTTTTGGTGTGAGAGCTTTTGACAAGTTTTAGGGCACGTGTATAACCCGTGATCGAACCATTTTTGAATGGCACCCCTCTCGTATGTTTGGCCAGATGCAACAATTACTGGATCCAACATGAGTTCCAAACATAAAGGACATCGGAAATAAGGAGGGACCTTAATGCCATTTATAGCCTTATAGTTCTTGAGTTTAACAATGCAATCACGAATATGAGACATAAGGCACATGGTATCATGGATTTTATCTAAACCCCCTTTCAATTTATTGTCTTCAGCTTTCATTCTCTCCTTTTCCAATGCAATAGACTCATTCATGACTTCATCATCTGATGTCAAGTTTAGGTACTGGATTATTGTCATAAGATGTTCTGAACGAGGAATTTTCCCTTCTCTTTGGCTTTTAAGAACCTCTTCCATCTCTTGGGACAGTTCTTCTAAATGCAGTTTTCGAGATTCCTGCATACAATACTGGAACAGAATCTGAATATAACTCACACTCTTAACGCCATTAAGATGAAGCCCAATTAGTAACACCATGTGAATGAAAACGGACGTAGTTCAATGGAAAAAGAAACTAATTGAAGGAGAAATCAGAATTAAATGGAAAATATTCGAGCCATATCACTACCTGAGTATCAGATACAATCGAAGTAGACGGTGATGATTCAATTAGTCTACACAAAATGCAACAGATCTTTACAGAGGAGATCCGTATTCTTATGACCAAGGGTTCACTTTGCAGCACCTGAAAGTAATAAACAAAGGAAAAGGAGATAGTGAGCTTGTGAAACTATGATCAATAACTCGTGATATAATTTACAAATCATAATTGTTTCACGGACGTTAAAAAATGTCAATATAGTCAAACATTGAAAGGTCATCTTCTTATTGGATTCCACTTGTTTATGAAATTTTTTTATGATCAATACTTGAAAGTTTTAAAGACTGAAAAACAGTGGCTCACTAGATGTTACTCACGAAAAGAATCTTGCTCATTTTTGGAAACCATTTATCAAGGAATTCCATGGCCTCGTGGATGGCTGCATCAAGTTCTTCACACTCTTTAGTAAAAAAATCATTGGGATGTACTTTGAGGTCAGCAACATTATCGAGTAATGGTTTCAAATGCTTCAAGAAAGAAACAAGACTTCTGTAATTCTTCTCAGCTGGCATAGTCTTCAATACAAGACATGATACCAGGTGATTAAATCGATAAATATTATCAGCAAGGCATTGTACAGATTTTACGTCCATTGACCTGTTTAAAGAAGTCGAAGAATGACTAATCAGAATAACATATGTGAACAGATTGTAGTTCATTATGTTAGAAAGATGCCCATGTTTCACAATAATGGTGTAAGGTGTTTCTTTTGTTTTCTAAATAATTTTTATATCACTTAGATCACTTTTTCTATTAATAATAAAAACAAGAGTCAGCCATGTCCAAAATATAAGGACAAAACAACACAAAACATAAACTAAAGCAATAAAAACAATGTTCCATTTCTTATTTGACAGGAAATTAAAGTCATTTGCTCTGCTACATGAATCCTATTTAAAAAATTTAAAAACTCGAACGCCATTGAGATATACAACTGATTAAAAAGCACGTAAAGAAAGGTCAAGAAATATATATCCTTATTATGTAATCATATGCATGTTCCTCAAATCCTTATCATCACTCGAATAATATTGATGCATCCTCACAGCGGTTAATCGAAGCTGGCCTACGAAGACTAGTAAAAACTACTTAGAACTTCTCAGCTTGAACACTGTTAAGCCGATTTCCTTCTATAGGCAGTATGTGACAAATAACCTTTTGCCAAATATAGAGGAAAAATGTACAAAACTTAACAGCAAAGGCTGAATTTCCCAGCTAAATCAATAATTATTTGCTCAAAAAATACTGTGATCATGTTTCACAAATTTACATCCATTCTCTTCAGTCTTCAGTCACCAAAAATACAGGCAGTCTCAACTACAAATAAAATTCAACTTCTTGGTCATTTCCACCATAGAAACAAAATTGCATTAATAAACCCAAGAAAATAGAGAAATGACAGTAATAATCACAAATGTCCCTGAATCTAATTCGATTAAACCTACCCTGTAAGCTCAAATGCTGAAATTTAACCAAACCAAGAACAGCTCAAAAGCAAACACATTTTTTTCTCTTACCCACAAAAATTTCGCGAAGGAAAAATTATAAAATAAAAATAGATTTACTTATTAGTGATATTTATGTTAAAATATTTAGAGAAATACACAATGCACTTGTACCTGGCGCGAGAAATTTAGATGGATGAAACAAAAACTGATCTTGATGAAACCCACAAAGCAAAAGAGTTTTAACATGAAAATTTCATGGTTGTGATCTTAAAATCTCCAAGAATGACTCCCTCTTCACATTGCTTCATTAAAAAGAGAGAGCTGGGTAAGTGAAAAAACAACAAAAAAAGGAAACAAAAGGGGCCTGGTTGAATTTGTGGGGTCCTTTTCCAGCTTCAGATTTGCCGGGAAATTAATTAATGAGACAATTATTAGAGAAATTTGTTGTTAAACAACAGCAGGCAAGACCAGAGGTGAAAGAGAGGAATTTTTGGTTTTTCATTTTTTTCTCCTTTCCAATTAAACTTCACTGAGCACTATTATATCTTCAACAAGCTGGAGAAATAAATAAAGACGTACCATGAACCCAAATCTGCAAAACTGAATTGGGACAGTTTTAGCAAGGAAAATAAACTTAATAGGTAATCATTTCCTCAGGTGACACAAGAAATAAGAATCAACGTCTACTTCTTTTAAAAATGTCATAAAACTGAAAGTATTGAAAGCAAGAAATGAAATGGTCTGTCTACTCTGAATAATCCGCAGTGCTGCTATATCAATGTAATGGCAGAGTGGTAAAGATTTCGCCATTTTCAAGACTAGGAAACCTACGAGGTATGAATTTTTAATCATGATTAGAGTGCTACATAAAAGTTTGAACTTTTCTTAATAAAGTAATAAAGAAAGAGCTGATATCCAAAGAAGATTTTGCAGCCAAGTACCGTGATTATTTGGCTTCAAGATTCCAAACACGTGCATCTAGTTCAACCGACACGCTACGCAATGGAAATTAAAATGATTAAAAATTTATATTCAAGAACTCTAATTGTAAATCTATTCACCCCTTTTACAATATTCATTCTTTGATTGACTATGCAAGAGATGGAATAAATAGTAAGCAAAATACACAAAATATGAAATCATATCGAGTCGAGCTACATGAACAGAAGCTTGACACATTCTGTGTAGTCACACATGATCAAACAAATGCATATTCGATGTAATTTTTTTTGAGAATAGATTTTGTAAGGATTGATGTTTTTGAAAAGTGCGTGATTAAGAAACGGGCAAAATTATTTTATTAAAAGAATGAGAAATTAAAAATGAATTTGGAAAAAAAATTTGTATTAAAGAATATGTACCAAACGAGTGCTAAATAATTTTCAAAAATACAATTTCATAATAGTTTTTAAAATACAAAAAAGAAACAAATTGGTAATGATTCTTCAAATCTTTTTATAATTTAATCCCTATTTGGTATCGTCAAAAATCAAATTTTTAGTAGATTTTAATAAAAATTAATAAAATATTTAGTTGAAAAGTTGATAAAAATTGCGACTTTTATAAGAGAATGCGAAAGAAAAAGCCTTCGAATACAAAGAAATTCTCTGAAAGTAACTTAATTTTATTATTAATGCAGAATGTTGAAAATTAACCTACAAGTCGGGTTAAATAGCTACAAAAAATACGAAATTATCGAAAAATTACCAAAAATAGCAAAATCTTAACGATCATACCAAAATAAAATATGAAATAAAAGAAGTAAGTTGCCAAAAATTTGGCTCAATCCGAATTCTCTAAAAGGAAACGAAATATTACCATAAATAGTAAAAAATAACTAAAAATTAAATTTCGAAAAGAAGAACTGAGGATTTTGGGCTTGAAATTGACACCCATCGAGCATAGCTGGGTGACCACGACGTGCGCGCTGAAGAGGGCTTTCCGGATTGGGGTCATGATAGTGATTCTAATAATCGTAGCCAAAGTTATGATCAAATTACCAAAAACGTGCCACAATTTCCCCAATTAAGGAAATATTGCATTTATTTTCCATCTTTGCACCGATCCACCATCTCATGGTATCTCAACTCCATCAACAAGCTATCTGACAGATCAGCATCACTCGACTCGAATCCTCCAACACCATTTACCAATTGGCAATATCTAATATCGGGTTAAATACCTCAATTGTGGAGAACATAAAGTCGGCAAAGTGGTAGACAATCGTTCAAGCTCGAAATCTGCCATCCAATTCAAAGGGTAAAAAGATCCGCTTAAGTATTTTCTTATGGTCGGTTTTACTATGAGATTAGTATTTAATGACAACCAAATTGTTACTACAATTTGATCATGAAAATCTATAGAATAAAATGTTAGCTTATTTAGAACATAATTGGTATAGATAAAATGGGATCAACACATAAATCCGAGTTCAAAAAATTGCATTTCATAAATAACAAACTCACAAAAATATTTCAAAAATCAAACGGTAAATAAAATTATTAAATATTAAAATATAATATAATATACATTAATTATTTCCACCCCATGCCATCTTACCCTACTATACCACCTTCCTTTCACATTTCCACCGAAGATGGTCATCGGATAGTAAATAAATTTATTAAATATTAAATTATAATAAAATATTTATTAATTATTTTTACCCCATAGTGGTGGCAATGGGTCGAGCCGAGTCGGCTCGGCTCGGCTCGCACTCGTGGCTCGTTTTCAACGAGTCGAGTTCGGGCTCGGCTCGTTGAATTTGGGCGAACTCGTGGCCGAGCTGAATTTTGGCTCGTGGGCTCTTTCATTTTTTTTAAAGAGTTTTACATATAAATAAAATAATAGAAAACACTTTTAAAAAATAAAAATAAAAAGTGTTAAAAAATATAAATAATTTAATGAAGACAATTTTTTATTTTTTTATTTATATCATATTGTAATATTTTTTATAAAGTATAAAATATTTATATAATGAAGATGAATTTATTTTTTGAAATATATTTTTACAAAAAATATATATTTTTGATTTCTTGTTAAAGTAGATAAAATGTAAATCCTCATTCTTTATCTGGGTTTGGGACCGGCTACATCAATTTTAAGTAGGCGGAGTTAAAAATTGTACACAAACAACTGGTTGTAACGTGTACAATTTTTTAAAGAAAATTAAATTTAACGATTAAAAAATAAAAAAAATTTGATTAATATAATTAAATCAAATATTACTTACCTGACGAAATGCAATTTCAACTTATTTATCTTGTAGTCGAAATTGAGTGTTCTGCCAATCATTTACGCACATTAACGCTTTCAAAGCATGTTCTTTCAATTGGTTCTTGACATCGGTCAAAATCCTTTTACTTGCACTAAAAGTAGATTCCGAAGCAACGGTGCTAACCGGAGGTATCAACAGATCTTTCGTAATTACAGAAACAATTGGCCAACGTCTTTCATACTTTCGTCAGACTTCTATTACTTCTTCTGAACTTTTTTTAATTGTTCTGTCTGTTGGTATATTATAATTGAAATAATCAATTAATTCGATAGGCATCGCATTTTGAGTTTCGCCCAATGTTTGATGAGATGAAAATGTAGATGACATGGCACTAGATGAACACGTTGCAGTTGCATCATATCTAAATGTATTGATGCCTTGAAATAAATTCATTAATTCGGCATCATCTTCTTCAATTTTAGTCGAAGGAGTAAGTGCAGAGAGTACCCAACTAACATTCGCACCCATTCTTTCCACATATAAATCATACATTCCAAATAATACTTGCTCTAAATTCTTATAGGTGATAGGTGTATCAAGTATTAAAGTTTTATTGATTTGAACAATTACGTATTTAGTTCCCAAAATATTATATCGGGGGTCCATTGCGCAGGCTAAAGGAAATAACATATGCAGTTCTTCCCAATATTTTCTAAACTTTAATTCCATAGCAATTATAATTTCACTAAAAGTATGATCATTTTTATATTTAAGGAATGTTCCTGCAATTATATAAAGGTATTCAACCACCATACAGTTTGTGAGATAATAAACGTCAGATAAAATTTTTGTGGTCTTATAAAAAGATGTCAAAAATCGTTTAACTTTCAAAAGTAAAATCCAATCGGATTCATTTAACATACCATCGTCATTACTTCTAACGTGTCTATTGTTATTGAAATATTGTATTGTATCGGCATGAAGAGTGTTTTGACTTACCCCAACGTACCTCGATTGCAGATATTCTTTCACGAACGAGACGAAATGTTGGTTGTCTACAATAACCAGAGGCAACTCAGTGGCGGCAACAAATTTCACCATTTCGGTTCGAGTATTATCCTCCGAATACACCCACGTGGATAGGGGTGAAGTTGTAGAACAGGCGTCTAGACTGCCAAATTGCAATTGTGTTTGACTAGCTGGAAGAAGCCCATGTCTGGAAGCACATTCTTTGTAGTGGCGGTTGGGATGGGTGGTACCAATTCCTTTTTACCATACCAATCTTTGTTGGCAGTATTTACATACTACTTTAGATTCTGCAAGGCCATCGACGACTTTTCCCGTTGAAATCAACTTAAGGTGATCCTAACATTTTGCTTGTTTTTTGGCCTTTCGCTTTCCCCTCGCATCTGGGATGTTTAATTCGGCATCTTTGTCTTCATGTTCCGTTTCGGGAACGTTAATATCATCCAAATCAATTGGATTGTGGCTTCCCCGACCGTGAATGTGAACATCTTCAGGTATGGGTATATCATTTAGACTGACAAATTTATTTGGAAATTGACTTTGTGGCGTCCTAGGCGATTCGTCATGACGTGGCCCACATCTCGTATCGAATAAGCTCTCAACAAATGAGCGTTGATCCATTTGTTTGATTGTTTATGATGAAATCTTAACTAGAATAATATAAATGTAGCGAGATTGTAAGAATTGAGAATTGGATGAATTGAAATTGTAACTAATAAAATGTAAAAATTGAATTGATATTGTATATTTTACAGTACAAGAGAGTAAAAACTCAATAATTGATATAATAAAAGAGAGTTAGAGATTTGGAGTAGATTGAGTAATTGATATGGAAAAAAATAAAGGGGGTTAAGGGCTATTTATAGTTGGGATAGAGTTTTGTGAATAGGGTAAATCACGGGATATATTCCATCAGGTCAGGAAACAAAAGCTGTCTGAACACTGCGCTTACAAGGAATCCAATTCCATGTTTCAGGAATCCAACTTCCACACTACGGCTGTCAGCAAGGCGTAAAATAATATCACTCATATCCTTTGCATCACTGGATTATGCCCTGGTGGGCATAGTGCTACTATCTCAATGTGATGGCAGAGTGCTAAAGATTTCGCCATTTTCATATAAATCATCTAAATTCATATAAAAAAATTAATTGTTACTTTGCTTTAAATTTTTGTCAATATTATAAAACACGCCAAATAGGGACAATATTAAAATTTTACTGTCATAAGATAAATATTTCAATCGATATACTTATTTTATTTTATTTTATTTTATTTATTATTACAAGAAGGGAGTTACATTATTTTGAATATGTGTAAAAGTGTTTTTGATTAATGGGTAAAATACGAAGTATGGTGGTTAGTACTTAAGACACCATTTTATATGATCATAAAAACAACTAATTGTTTATGATTGTAGAATAAGGGTTGGTGCTCTATTCTGTTAAGGTTTTAATAGTTGTAACTCTATCAATTGAGATACGATTTGTCCTAACTAGGACGAAGGATCTCGAATTAGTGACATCAGTGTATTTGGAAGTGTATTGAATTGAATCATTTTGTATAAAAATTTCATTCTAATTGATGACCA